ATACTCTTTAATTATCTTTGATACTACTTATGAGGGGAAATCTTCACTTAATCATATAGTATGCTATACAAAAAAATTAACAGTAACGTACCTTTTCTTCAATCAAGCAGAATAAAATCTTATGTATAATATACAGTACTTAACAGTTAAAAATGTTCATGCTCATAATTAACTCAATAACAATAGTACAAAGGAAAACTACGAAATTAAAATGGTACAACTAATTGCTATTAAAATGACACGCGTAATAGTAATTTGTAACGCAAATCATTTATGTGTCGAAATGCATTGTTATAAATGGTCTGCAAATAGCTTTTACAAATAATAGAGGTTTCGCTCAAACTTGAAGTGTTTCCGTCCGTTGGACTGTCGGCATCTCTTATTTGGATAAAATAAGTTAAAGATGTTTGTTTTAAAGTATTTGAATTGAATTGATTTAGTTTATGACTCGTATATTCCATTGTTGTTTAGAAAAGAATGGAGCAGTGTTGGTCGCTTCAGCGAGCGACTATCACCCCTGATATGGTCGATCCCCGGCTGTGCACCAATGGACTTTCTGTCTATGTGCGCATTATCATCATTCGTTCGAACGCTGACGGAAAACATCGGATTGCATAGACCTAAAAAATGTCGACGGCGTGCGTCAGGCACAGGAGGTTGATCACATACTTGGCTATTAGATTGATAAATGATGATCATGAACACTGGTTTTTTTTAGAAAAGTAATATCATTCTGTTTACTGTTGAATTTTGTTGTCGATTGACTGATCGCCCAACAATTAGATTTTTGGTGAATACCGCAGATGAAAAAGGTAGATTTTTTTTAGTTTTGCATATAGTGCATATTATAATATATAACATATGACGTGTTAAATATACAAATTATAACTCATTTCCGTTTATATTTTACGATGAGTTGGAATAAAGATAATCTCGAGAAACAGACAATTATTTCGTATACTAAATGTTATAATTATAAAGAGATCAAAGATTTAAGATAAGGAATGACGAAATTAATGCTTGAAACGTTGTTAAAGTGTATTTAAACAATTTTTCCTTAATGATAACAATAAGTAAAAATAATAATCTATTCAATCTGAAGAAATGTCTTGGTCTACCAAGGTCTAAATAAATTGGAATACAAAATCAATATTACTAAGACATTATTCGCAATTTTGATTATAATAATAATCGTTTGTAGGAAGGTATCGTGACTTAATTAAATAATCACTTTTTCTTATATTATTTATTCCAAAATACTAATGGAGGGCTGAGGCTGACTGATACTAAGATAAAATTTTGCATATAATCTGCCACTGTATATAAATACGTTATTTTTTTAAATGCTGTATATAAAAATAACTATAATAATGATAAAAAATAACTATGTCGAATATGAAACTCATCCTATCTCACGTCTGTTCTATAGTAGGCTTTTAGATTATTTACTACTGTTTTGATTAGTGCACTGAAAGATTGTATTGCTCTTGACGTATTATTTGGCGAATACAAATTACATTAAGAAACAAAACTTCTAACGATAAGACAACTATACTTAATGGCAATATGCCGACTTCTTTGGAATCACACACCAAGACTGCATCATACACAGCGCAAACCTACATATAAGCTACCGAAAAATGCACATCCTTCCTCCAACACTTTTTTTTCAGAGGACCTTTCTTTAACCACATTCACTAACAATCTTAAGCAACATCTTTTAAACCTGTCCTACGCTGAATTCGAAAGTGTTCTCAAGTGCACGTGCAACAGTTGTTTAATTATAAATTGTTTTATTTAGAATTTATTAATTCAAGAACCTAAAGTCATTAATGTCAAATGGAAGAGACTATCTGCCCACGACACAGGGGTATCCTAGTGTGGGAGCTAGTGCACTTTCTCTTTTAACCATACATCGTTTTTTATTATGTGTAATAAAGTTTTTACCATCCTCTAGGTATCGTTGAGTCAGTAACGCCATCCAGACTCTCGATCAAGCCATCTCATTATCTGTACGTTTCAATGTAATAAAATAAATAAATAAAAGCCTTTATTGTTGTTAACAAGTTTTACACAGAGTAGTTTCGTGTGCCTAAAATTAATTTACTTAGGTATGACTAAAGAAACACATTTTGACTATTAACTAGAGTTTAACTAATATACTAACAATTTTACTATTTATTGATTATCGGCAAACGGTAGTTCGGTTACAACTTGTCTTCCGACAAAGGCTTCCTCTAAAGCTCTCCAGTCTTTTCTCATTTTTGCAGTGCGAGTCCATGTTGAACCCGCTATTTTCTTAACGTCATCCTCCCATCTCTTAGCCTGTCTTCCTCTATGTCTCTTTCCGTCTAAAGGGTACCATTCTGTGATAAGTTTGGTCCATTTTTCTTGCTTTTCTCTCATCATATGCCCTGTCCACCTCCACTTTAGCTGTTTGTATGTTGTGTATGCATTCTTAGACTTGGTTTTACTTTTGATGTCTATTAATTTTTTTCGGTCTTTTCTTTTGACACCAATTGTACTTCTTTCTATGCTGTTTTGACAAACTTTAATTTTATTTGCTAGATGTTCTGTTAATGCCCAAGTTTGACACCCGTATAGTAAACATGGTAGAATGCACATATTATATACCTTCCTCTTTTCTTTCATAGGCATATCTTTGTTCTTCATCACTTCACTGAGTGACTACCTTATATATACCTTTTCCAAGTATTGGTAACTCTTCTTTCAATATCTTTTTCCATGCAGCCTTCAGTAGATATTACTCTATTTGCTCATTATTTACTTTTATCGTGTCTGTTTGTGATGAGTTTGTCATGACTTTTGTTTTATTTAAATTCATCGATAGTCCAGCTTTGTCACTTACATCTGCTAGTTGTTGCAGCATCATTTCTAGTGATCTTGAATTTTCCGAGAATATTATTAAGTCGTCTGCAAAGCGTAGGTGGCTCAAGTTTTACCGTTTATGTTTAGTCCCTCATTTGTCCAGTCTAGGTTCCTAAATATTATTTCCAAAACGGCAGAAAATAATTTGGGTGAGATAGGGTCTCCTTGGCGTACACCTCTCATGATAGGGAATTCTTCGCCTATATCTTCTAACTTGACTTGCGCAGTACTCTTGGTGTATACATTACGAAGTAATCGTATGTATTTTGTTTGTACACCCTGTATTTTTAGTGCATCCCATATATATCCGTGTTCTAGTGTGTCGAATGCTTTATTGAAATCGACAAACCCTAGATAGTAGCTTTTGTTGTATTCTTTATATTTTTGTAATATTGGTCTAAGGGTGTGTACCTATATGATCTATGGTTGAAAAATTTCGTCGGAATCCAGCTTGTTCTTTGGGCTGATTCTCTTCAAGAATATTTGTAATCCTCAATAGTATTATTTTAGAAAATACCTTATAAATATTAGACATTAAGCTTATGGGCCTGTAATTTGCTATATCTCCTTTGTCACCTTTTTTGTGTAGTAATATTATTGTAGATTTAGTCCAATCCTCTGGAATATTTTCCGTTTTAATAATTTCGTTAAATATATTTGTAAGCATCGGACCAATAACTGGTGATGTAATTTTCAGTATTTCATTTGAATAATACCTATTCTACTCCCCTGCCATAGTGTCCATGGACTTTTTCTATCTCTAAACTTCACATCACACGTCTCGCGAAATACGCCCCGGCTACATCGGTAATATTTTTGTTTACAATATTCATGGGCGAGCCAGGGCGCAATTCCTTGCGAGACCCGTTCTTTCAGTTTTGTTTGCCGCCCTTATATATTTAACAATTTTTTCGCAAAACCGTTCCAGGCACGATCTGTGCTTTATTAACATGTCCTGTAGGCCGTTACGGTCTACAGTCATCTGCATTTGTTGCTCCAGGTTGTGCCTGGACGATGCGAATATAGGGAAATGTAGGAGCACATGTTCACACGTTTTTATGTAATATATTGTATTATTTATTACTCGAACATAGGACCTTTACGTAGTTCTGTTCGAGAATGTGTCTGCGGTGACCACTGCGACAGTCTTTAAGTTGACATATTTATATAGTATATAGATGGATATTTAGTAGATAATATTGGTGGTTACTAAGTCAAGGCACGTAATATCGAGGCCGCGTGGCAGATATTTAACCTCGAATGATTTTCCACTAGACTCATGTAGCATTATATTTTCAACATACCTTAATTGTCAATTAGCCTATTTGCGTATTTCGATGTCAAGTGTAACGTTAAGAACTAAAATGTTTAGCCGTGTAGACGCGGCGTGGTCTAAAATATGTATATTATACCCTGATTACTGATATTGCAATTTAACGTTTTGTTATTTGATGGAGATTTTAAAAACGTGTGCATAAAAGAACAAATCCCATACATTATTGCCGTAATAATACAAAATGTTATATACTGATAAATACTAAACTAAATTCAATAGCTATTTTGCTCGCTGTTCAGCTTTTGCGTTTTATAAAGTCTCAATTAATTAATACAATAGAATAACGGAGTCATGTTGTTGACGGGAGGTGTGGTCAAAATCAAAAATATATTAAAAATAAATGCTTAATTGTTTATTAGTTGGTGCGAAAAAGTGCTACAGCTAAAACACTTCTTATAAAAGTAATACAGAAGTTCCGCTATTTTAGAGACACAATGAAACTAAAAATCATTGTTAAAATTATCGTATTGTTTCACATTTTAAAATCAGACCTTCGCCCGGTGTAGAACATTGAATAATTTTTATGTGACAGTAAAAAAAACTGTTTTATTTACAAGGTAGGCCGTGGCAATTAATTATAATTCGACAGGAAATTCTATTGAAGATCAATACAAAACAATAAGGTTGCGATTTTCTTAATTCGGTCGAGTGACTTTGTTTTGTTTGGACATCGGCAAAACGCTTGGTGTCTGTTTACGAACGTCAGTCTCTCCGCAACGTTCAACAATCGAGATTGACATTCACTTGACAGCGCGCTGTATTTGTTTGGCGCGAGATGTCATCAAACAGTAATAAAGTTAGCAAAGTTGGTGATAATTATTATCAAAATGATACGAAGAATAATAGTTTGAGTGGTGCGTTCGCGGATAAAAGTGTTTCACAGCTGAATGGAAGATACAGATCAAAAAGTTTGTCGAGTGATAAGTTGAGTCAACTTAATGCAGATCGGGCTGCGATATTAGAGGATGTTGATACGGAATATTTAACAGAAAAATCTGAAACACCCGGCTGTTTAGTTAAAAATAAAATTATGGAACAAGATACACAAGCAACGATTAATGGGTATGTAAAAATATTTCGCTTTCGAGATGGAAGTTTTCTACCTTCATCTTTAACCACTTTGAAATTTTTACCAAGGTATAGGAGAATCTAAAGCTAACAATATCTAATGTAATGTGGACGGCAAAGGATTTCTGAATTTTATTTAGCATTAAATAAATTAAAAAGTAAATAATAAAAGCACATTAACTGTACAAGTTAACAATAAATAATTTGAACAACTTTGAAATTAGAGTTCAAATAAATAATCCACGTCTTCAAGTTAATTTTAAATAAATATTATTGTTAATGTAAAAAATATAATTTGAATACATATAATATAAAAATCTCTTGAAGTTGTTACCTGATATTATACATATTCAACAAATTTTTAATAGTTAAGGAAATTCAAATTTTTCAATAAGTATTATTTTATGTAGGTAGGATAAAGATGGGAGGTACTTTGATGCCTATGAAATAGCTGTTACCCTTTTTTTAAGTTTACAATACTTCTTCCCTTACAAAGATCAAAAATTTCATTTCTGTCCATTAAAAGTTGCTATTTTAGTAGTTAACATTAATCACCAGTTCAAGTTAACTAAAATATTTTTGTAATGTTGTAATCTTCTGCCTTAAAGTAGTTATCTTTTCTTTCCATGCATATGTGGTATGGTAATAATACCAGTATTAAATAAACTCAAAGTATATTTTATGTCTCATTATTTGTTTCTGTGTTGTAAAACACAAAAAAGAAATTTGGATATCAGCCATATCATAGAATTTATAGAATGGGCCATTGTATTGATATTTTATTGTCTCTTAAGAGTGGGTAGCCTCATTTACATAAAAAACAACACAAGTAATTTATCTTTACATCACATATTTAAAAAAAATACTTTTGTATGTGTACACACATTTAATTATCGCAATTTTCAATAATTTATGAAAATTGTAGGTAATTTATATAGTAGTTGTAACTTGTACTACTTATATTTTAACTACAAGCAGGTGATACGATTTTCCTTAAAAAGTATTTTCTTAAATTGCACATTAAGCTATTATGATCTATTGCATATTATAAAGTTATAACTTTGTCTGCTTCTTGGGCACACTAAATTAGTGTCGGGTTTATTGATTATTACTTAATAAGCAAGTCATATTCAAAACAAAAAAAATATGTGTCCATACACATCAGATGCATCCCTAGATTATGCTATTTTGTTGCACAATACTTAACTAATATTTAAATAAATAATTTAAAATTTTGTTACTGTTTGAAAGTGCATATCTAATATTATTACATTCTTCCATAAAAGTAATACAGGAAATTTTATTATCTTAAGGGACATGGACGGATTCATAATTTTTTGTAGGTAAACTTTTTAGGTCTGTTCCGTATTTTTTTAAGTCTGACCTTTGCTGGTTATCACGATGTTTTTATAACCAAACGTAGTTTACGCACATATAAGGAAAAAATCATTAGGTCTGGGAATCGAACTCACGACCTAAAGTTTGAGAATAGCAGGTCTCTGCTCGCAATCGTTATAAACCGATGATATTATCCACTTGTATACTTCAAATTACGTGAGATTACACTCGGTGCTATTCGCCGACCCTTCATAATGCAAATTGCTCTGCTCTGTCCACCTATTTGTAATACCTATATTCAACTCTTTGTAATACATATTATATTCAGCTATTTATAATACCTATTTTTATATGTCTATCATTACTAGACCGTTTATGTTACAATTGTTCACGTGTCATATAAACAGTATTATTTTGATATTCGTTCTTAGAAGTATTGACTGATCTTATGCAGGTGACCACGCTTTGGGTTTCATGGCTTCTTTGGTCGGACTACACAGCTTAATATAATAAATAAAACACGAAATACAAGACCAGAATAGCGTACTGCTTGAAAATAAAGAATTTAGTTCCTACATCGACTTGTAGTTTTTGCTTTTCTCTTATTTTAAGTTTAGTTTCGAAGTCGTGCTGTTTAACATTAATTGAATATATTGGTTAATTCACTGTATTTAAATTTGTATTAAATCCTAATTACTACGAAACATCTAGAAACAGAATTTAATTTTTTCGTAATATCGCCTGTGTAAATGACACATTTATTGGAAGACGCGTAAAGTCAATAAACAGTTATCAAATCACAGCTAGATATGGCATCTAGACTTTAATATAATATTTACTCGGGACGCGATAAGTATGGTTTAAGCGTAAGAGATATTTATTCCCAAAAATTATTAAAACTAAGTCTGTACTGTATTTTGACTAAAACACTTGTCTTAAAGATTGCGTGTGTAGCACAATACAGAAAAATACTTTATTTGATTAAAAAGGTTTTTGATATTAAGTAATACATCTTCAATTTTGTACTTATAAGATTGTTTTTTTTCTGTCCGCGTTGTCCCCTATACATATCTTGTTTGTATTACAAATATCAAATAAGGCATTTCCGTTCCCACAAAGTAACAAAATATCACATTGCAAACATACCGTACTTCTTTAATAATATACGCGCTATTTTGATTCGATTTATCAAAAGAATCAGTTTCTATGGAGCGATTTAAATACTCCATGTTTTGTATATATATAGAACATATAATTCATTTAAAGCTTAAACATTTCATATAATTTATAACAATGACATTCAGAAATTTTCATGGCATTCAATGGTATGTAAATATGAGGATTTAGTATGATAATAATGACCTATCGGATAATGCATACTCAAAGTAATAGAACATTAGATTAAAATAAACAGAAATCTTCTTTCTGATATTTAACATCCATTACTATTAAATATTACGTATATTTTTAAAAATTATCACTTAATGCGGGCTCGAGGTTATATTACTTTAAAATGTTACGAATAACAATACGATTTCGACATAGATCGAATATTGATGTCATACGTACCTATGTTATAGCGATGTTGCGAACTTAAAAAAAAGTAATTAATTTATTCTTACGTTACATAAAACATATACGTTATTACTAATTGCTTTTGGTTTTAGTTTTTGTGTTTCTTTTTAGTTGAATTTGCATTTTTGTTATTCTTGTTTTAAAATATAGAATTATTTTTTCTTGCGTGTTTGTTATTTTGTTCAAACATTGATGTGTATGTGTGTAAAATTTATGTTATATTTTCATGAATTTTAAAGCATGCATGTTGTTTTAGAGCTTGTAAATAAATAAAATATGCGAAAATGTATTTCACTTGTCGGTTCCATTAAATCTAACCGATTCAACTAAGGGATCGTTCAAGTATTACGTCACGCCATTTATGGAGATTCTTGACCCCTCCTCCCCATGTAACGCGCCGTAACGTTTTTCACTCAATAGTAAAACGTTACGTGACCACCCAGTGACTCTTTATACCTAAAAGATACCATTTTGTCGTGTAAAGTACCGGAACGTCGAAAATAATATTAACAAAAAGTAACAATTAAGTAAATAAATAACGCGTAATTCAATTTAACGTTTTACAAGAGGAATTCGTAGAGGAAAATCTATGTTTTAAATTTTTAGTGGAATCTTGCAGTATTGGCCTAGTGGCTTCAGCGTGCGACTCTCATACCTGAGGTCTTAGATTCGATCCCCGGCTGTGCACCAATGGACTTTCTTTCTATGTGCGCATTTAACATTTGCTCGAACGGTGAAGGAAAACATCGTGAGGAAACCGACATGCCTTAGACCCAAAAATTCGACGGCGTGTGTCAGGCACTGGAGACTGATCACCTACTTGCCTATTAGGTTTAAAAATGATCATGAAACACATTCAGAAATCTGAGGCCAAGACCTAAAGAGGTTGTTGCGCCACTGATTTATATATTTATATTTATTTTATACAGCTCTTAATATCACAATGTTCTCCGTTTAAAATACATATATTAATATTTTTGTTATAAATATTTTTTTTACTTAAAACCTACAACCTCGCGTTCAAGCGCTCGTATACGATAAAACATTTTCTTATGTTATATGGGCGTTATCGGTGGTATTTGCATCACCTTATCTATATTTAATGTTAAGGAGCGCCCTATCCAATGGTAACGTATTAGTATGCGCCACAAATTGCTCTGAACTAGTGATTTACTCGTCTGGTAATGGATTTGGCGTGATCTATTGTCTGATTGTTTGCAAACATGAGTGAGGAACAGAAACCGTTGGTACTGTAAGTGTTTTTATTGTTTTTCTTGAGAATTATGCCTTCCACGAAGGCATTCTCGGAGACGCTATGTATACAGTGAAACCATATCAGGCTTCAAGTACTTATTTGAGTACATCTGTCTTCTTTCATCACAGCGTTAACAATTTTATAGAAAGAGACGCAAGAGTTCTTTAGTCAAAATAATGAATTATACTAATTTAGTTTTTATATAGTAAACTGTAGATCGATCGGCTAGTCCGTAGCTGAGGTATTTACATTAGAGGTGATTTCATGGGCATGTACCACAGCTTATGTCTTATTTATAAACGTAGATTAAACCACAATGTTTTTGTCACGTTTATTTTAAAAAGTGACATAAGTGAAATAAGGACAATAGTCAACAGTTGTAGTACACTGTTTAATATTAAAATAATTTGCATGAATTATTTCTATGAATAGCCTCTTTATATTTAGGTATTAAGGTCTATTTTGGAGCATCTTTTTTTGACTACCATGGCAACCTCCACTTGAAACCACGTGGCTAGAGTACCGTTCATATGGTCACACATTATCTATATATCATAAAATAGCCTAATAATACTATAATACGATAGGTGGCGCGTTCTTTGAGGCATTCCTCTTTTGCCATGCGATTATTTTTTCTCTTCAGTCGGTAGCTCTTGCCTAAGGGTTATGGTCAGCAAGGATACATCTGGAGCGGATAATCTGTTTCCACCGGTTTCTGTCCAGCGACTCTCTTATTACAGTGTACAGTTTTTAGGTTATAACGTCGACGTGTAGTATCGTGTCGTTTCTTTTTAACTTATGTTTTTTCCAAAAAAAAAAAAAAACAATTGTTTATTATGAAACGGACAATTAAAGGGCAGTAAGATCTTATAGGTTTAACTATATAATTATTACCTATTTGTGGTTTAGTAATTGCTATAGAGATTCTTGAACTTAAACAATTTTTGACGTATCACATTCAAACTCGTGCTAAGTTTCTGAATCCCTTAACTTCAGATTCGACTGAGATATTAGATTTGACATAACCCATACCTATTTGGGAAGCTAATCAATACCTTGAAATAACTTCTGTATATTTCATAATCGTTTATAAATTCTGATGTACCGGACTATGGGTTATAATAGTATATTGATTCTATTGAAGATAACAAAGTAGCTAGTAAAGTCTGTATTTAACTAATAATTAGTACTTAGATACGTGATGAATTGTTTTCTGAACACGGCTCAAATTGCTAGAGTATATAAAAAATAGTTTACGGCTGCGATGCAAGAACAAAAGCCATGGCAAATGCATTTAACGATAAAAAGCATAACATTTATTAAGGTAGTAAAGCAAAAATTCTAAAGCGAAAAATTATGGCAAATTTAATAGTTCAATGGAAAACAAATGCGTCGACGCATTTGTTACTAAGCGGAACGAACGTACATCGGCAATATAAGTCGTGGAAAATTATGCATATTAACATTATCGTATTTACATAAGTAACGTAAAGTTTCGGATAGAGTATAAAAATATGTAAATAAAAAAAATGTTACGAAAAATATATCTGTTGCGCTCCAACCTTTTTAGGACTGGGCCTTACATGTCTGTATCTGATTCATGATCGATTGTCTAATAGGCAAGTAGGTGCAGAGCCTTCCTGTGCTTGATACACGCCGTTGAATTATTAAAGCCCGTTTCCTCACGATGTTTTCCTTCGCCGTTGGAGAAAATGTTAAAAGCACAGAAAAGAAAAGGTCCATTGGTGCACAGTGGGGATCGGACCGTCGACCTCAAAATTGAGAGTCGCACTCTGAAGCAACTAAAAATATATACCATATTATATAATATGCAAAGGTGTGATCTAAATTATTTGGAGCATATGCTATTTGTTCAAAAAAATTAATCCATCATTCAATAATTCGAAATGCTTTATCGTGACAATTTAACTTACCTTGAAAGCAATTTTTATTCATAACTAAATCTGTCTAAATGATACTGTTGGAACATTTCTTATTTGTCTCTTTCTGTCAAATTGTGTAACCATTGCGATAAAACGGTATATAGTTCCATAGCTTAAACATTTATTAATAACTTAAATAACTTCAACTTGTTATTGAATAAGTTCGTAAAAATATTTACTCATTAGTGTACCTGTGTATCAACAACTAATAGGCAATAAACAACTGATTATTTGTTAACAAGGTATTGATAAGATAAATAATTGTTTCTCACACATCCAAAAGATAAACATTAAACTAATAGTGTCCAATAGCGTCTGATATGATATCTGATATGGTCTGATGAGCCCATGGGAGTATATCTGCTCTGCACTTAATAATAATTAAACGTAGGCATGGTTTTGATAATTTTTAGGTCAGGCTGTCTTTTATCAGCCAATGTTTTGCTGGGCTTGAGGGGACCTTTTTGAATTGTACTTACCGAATAAACGAAAATTTTAAACTGGTATTTAAATTAATGCGCAGTGTTGCATAGTGGCTACGGCGTGTCAGGCACAGAAGGCTGACCTACGTGCCGATTAAGAAAAATGATTATGAGACGGATTCAGAAATCTGAGACCTTAAACCTTAAAAAGTTGTAGCGCGATTGTGTTTTTTTTTAATTTTAACTAAAAAAAATCGGTAATCTTTTTATTTATGGTAACTTGAAAGGGCATTAGTCCAATTTAACCATAAGAAAACACAAGTTTGCGCGTTTTCCGCTAAAAAAACACCCTTTGTCGCTACTCCTCTTTTCGAAAACACTCTTCTTAAAGCCACAGCCAGCATTGGAATACTTGGCGTTGACATATCGAACGACGTTCAGTTTCGCGGTCACTTGGAGGGAAAGGCTAAATAAGTCTCCAAAAAGCTTAGTGTACTCAGCAAGGCGAGACGGTACTTCACTCCGGGCCACCGCATGCAACTATATAAAGCGCAAATTCGGCCCCACATGGAGTACTGCTCTCCTTCCACTAGACCGTATGCAACGCAGAGCGGTTCGAATCGTCGACGACCAATCCCTCTCCGAGCGGCTTGATCCTTTGGCGTTGCGTAGAGATGTGGGGTCACTCTGCATCTTCTACCGCATTTACCATGGAGAGTGTTCAGAGGAGTTGTTCGGATTAATACCTGCAGCTGAGTTTCGTCATCGGACGTCGAGGCAGAGTACGAAATTCCACCCGTATCACCTCGACGTCAGCCGTTCCACAACTGAGCGTTTTTCAAGGCAGTCTTTGCCGCGCACCACCACTTTGTGGAACCAGAATCCTTTTTATTTCAATGAAATTTGCCTAATTTAGTCCATTACGTCACTTTATTGTCTTTTGTTGTCTTTATTTTCTCTTTAATCAGTCAACCGGAAGTAACCTGAAGTTTACCGGGTCAGCTAGTTTAATTATATATTAATTTTTAGTAATGATGTCAAATATAATCTAATATATAAAATTCTCGTGTCACAGTTTTCGTTGCCATACTCCTCCGAAACGGCTTGACCGATTCTCATGAAATTTTGTGTGCATATTGGGTAAAACTGAGAATCGGACAACATCTATTTTTCATCCCCCTAAATGTTAAGGGTACCCCTAATTTTTTTTTTTAATTTTTAGATAATTTTTTTATGATACAACATTAAAAAATACATACAACCCCTAATTTTCACCCCTCTACGATCAACCCCTATTTTTTATTATAAATGATAAACATGGCAAAACGACGTTTGCCGGATCAGCTAGTTATTAATATAATCAGACGTGTAAGCAAAATGACAAGCAATGTGAAAAGCGTCATGAAAATTACTCTAGTGGTCTAGAGTAATTTTGATGCTTTTTACAAATATAATACACTTATACACACATATAATAATACACTTGGTGGCATACAAATTAACACTGAAAATAAAACTATTTCAGCTACCAGGGTGGTAAAGTGTCATATGGAACAGATAGTCCCGCCAAAGGTCGGCGAGTGATATTCTGCGTTCATGGTAACCCGTCCACTGGCTGCTGCGCCGTCATCGAAACCAACCCAGATGGCGAGGAAAATGGAAGAAATGGCAGTATTACTGAAGTTGAAAGTATGTGGTTTAAAGATATTGTTTGATGCAATAATTTATGTGTATTGATGATTTTTGAGCAGTGTTGGCCTAGTTGCTTCAGCTGCTTGTGACTCTCATCCCTGAGGTCGTAGGTTCGATCCCCGGCTGTGCACCAATAAATTTTCTTTCTATGTGCGCTTTAACATTCGCTCGAACGGTGAAGGAAACCATCGTGAGGAAACCGGCTTGCCTTAGACCCAAAAAATCGACGGCGTGCGTCAGGCACAGGAGGCTGATCACCTACTTGCCTATTAGATTAACAAATAAACATGAAACAGCTATAGAAATCTGAGGTCTGGACCTAAAAAGGTCACTGATTTTTTTATTGATGATTTTTAGTTGAGACGGTTCGAGTGAAGTAAGGTTTCCTATGTAGTTCCCTGATAGGTATATTTATTCATACCTGTTCGACGTTCGTTTTTTATTAAACATAGTTTATATATAACTGTTCTATTAATATGGGAACTACCTAAACCTTTTCTAATTTTAAATCATGAAATATATTAAACGTCTTAAGATGCTGCCAACATTGAATAAAATAAGAAAATTTCAGAAATAAATACTTATATAATGAATTAATTGGTAACTGCAAATAAAAGTTATTATTGAATTTCAGGGCATTGTCACAGATCACGTAACGAGGAAATAGACAAACGCGCGAGAAGAAAACTTATAATAGCCAGTATATTATGTGTTATATTTATGATAGGAGAAATTGTAGGTAAGTACTCCTTTGTAACCTGTCCTATACTAAATTTAACATCAATGTTTTTAAGGCAAAAAATTCCCGTGTTTCGTTTTAATTAGGCTGACAGTACTACTACTAGATATCTGTTTTTGGATACATCCAATGTGTTTATTTTATGTTTTATTTTTAACTTTTTTATTGTATAGTCTGCGAGTGATATTTATAGAGATATCTGTTTTGTTTCCCAAATAAATACATAGTCCTATTATAGGTACTAGACTAGGCTCCTTCAAAGATAACCAATATTACGTAAACTTATGAAGATGAAAACTTGTAAAGATACGAATAAACCTTTATTATTAAAGTACATTTAATGAAAAACTATTTAAGATTTCGATCGTCAATATCTTTAATCTAACTACTGACCTTCCTCCGTTCTTTATCTTCTTCATATATCAATGTATTCAGTTATTGATAAGATTCTCTAAGTCTAAGGGATGGCCTCCCTTAGTTAACAACAATTCCATAGTTGCCTTTGAAAATTTGACTTGAGATACGAAATCCTTTTTAACATACCAACACCAATCGCTATCCAAGCTAGTATAAATTTATGAGAAAAAATATGCAATTTTTATGTTTTATTTACTTGCTGCAACCGCGAACCTCGTTTCGCCTTAATACACTTCTGGACACATCTATTGGCCCACCTTGCATTTTCAGTTTCTCTAGGTATCTCCGATAAACGTTTCGGACCGCAGATCGACTTAAATTAAGTTGATCACTCACATTTCTTTGGCTGTTCCGGCCCGATAGTGCCACAGCTTGGGCGGCGACTTCAGGCGAAGTATCCATAGATTATTGATAGAACCTCATCGTAATGTTAAGAATAAGTAATGTTTGTTGCAAAACCAAAGAGAAAAATCACACTTTCAAGAATTAAATCCAACTAAACCAATAAAATCAAGTTTTTTTAGTATTCGATTGTTTGATATCAATGAGCAGGCTCCGAATTGTCTTTTGTTTCTATAAATTCTGTTTCGAAATTCAAAAAAAAAATATTGAATGCATATGAATTGCCAGGTTCAAACTGCATAAAATGTTTACTCGACCTATAGTAGGTCGAGTAAACATTTTTTAGGTAGGACCAAAAGAAACTGAAAATGCAAGGTGGGCCAATAGATGTGTCCAGAAGTGTAATATTTTTACGTAGCCTTCCTTTTTAATAGGTTACATACCAACATATGCAAGATTTTCCTGTGCTACCACGTAGAAACTGTTAGATTTTTTTAGAATTAAAACCTCTAAAAGAAGTGCTAGATAAATCAATTTTTTTAATATACAGTAAAAACCGTTTACGACGACATCATTTAAAACAACATAACGATTATATTGACCAAAATCAAAGGTCCCGGTTGAATTCTATTGTATAAGGTACTTAATAATAACGTCATCGTTACGACTATCGGTTTTTACGACCAAATATGAATATGTAGTCCCTTCGATGTCGTTATAACAGATGTTGACTGTATTTCCAATTTTTGACTCTATACAAACCTTCCACAAAGGAATAAATAAAAAAATACTCGATTCATGTACATATAAACTGTATAAAAACGTGATTTGTCTTTGGGACATTTGTAGATGTTTGCCATCCACGCGTTGAAAACTGGTCAAACAATGTTGTGACTCAATCTTTGGTAATTTCTTGTTTTCAGGTGGGTACATGTCAAACAGTCTGGCAATAGCGACAGATGCCGCGCATTTACTCACAGACTTCGCCAGTTTTATGATATCATTGTTCTCGCTATGGGTCGCCACCCGACCCGCGACTAGACGGTATGTAATTTTAAGCTATATTTTCACGCTTAAATTGATGAACTTTGTGTTTGTGTCCTTTTAAATCACGAGAACATTAACAAATAGTTTTTAATAAATAAAATCGGCATAAAATATGCCTCACATTGTTTATCACTATATTTTATAGTATTACAGCCACAGGCACCTGATCACCTACTGGTCTATTAGGGAGCGTTCAAGTATTACTTAACGATTTTTTTTCTTTTTGTAAAACGTTACGATGCGGGGCGGGGATTGAATTATGCGTTATTGTTAATATTATCGACTTTCCAGTACTTCACACTACATAATGGTAACCTTAGGTATAAAGAGTCACTGGGTGGTCACGAAACGTTTTACTATACTTGGGTACAGATAAATGTTACGGCGTGTGGGGGGGTCAATTATCTACAAAAATTGCGTGACGTAATACTTGAACGCAAAAAAGGAAATGATCACGAAATAGATACAGAAATCTGAGGCCCCGACCAAGGGTTTTTTGTGCAAAAGAGAAAAAAAAAAAAAAAAGGAAAATTTTTACATTCAAAGAAAAAAACAGTATAAATATTTTACATCTGAAACCCTTTACTTCAGGATTGTCATCGTTCTAGTTAAAAAATAGTTTACTAAAGGTCTTCCAATTACAGGATGCCTTTCGGTTGGTATCGAGCGGAAGTCATAGGAGCCCTAACATCCGTTCTTCTCATCTGGGTGGTGACAGGAATTCTGGTATATATGGCGGTGCAAAGAGTCATCTACAAGGAATTCGAAATAGACGCGACTGTTATGCTGATCACCTCCGCTGTTGGTGTTGCCGTTAATCTTGTGTAAGTGATTTATATTATGCTTTATTAATGGCTTTAAAAAAATGACCTAGATACAAATCGATTGGCCTAATACTTCGATAAAACTTTAAACTGTTTAACTGTTAGTTAAACTGAATATAACTTAAAACCTAACTAATTTGATTATTTATTACTCTATAAGGGAAACGATCAAGTTACTCAACCCACAGAGTCGAGACTAAAGCCGCGTTACCATTATGCAAATGACTTGCATACAACTTGCAACTTATATGCAAATTGTAAAGTGGAAACAACTACTTGTAAACAAGTTGCAACATGCTATAGTACGGACGCGGAGCACGAAGAATTTCGTACAATGACCTTTGGGCCTACTGCCAGTGGTTAAAAACATTTTTTTTTATAAGTACGAATATTAAAAACGTTAGTTTAGAATTTGAGTTAGCTTTGTAAATAAGATCATCGACTTAATATAGGTAAGTACCCAAGGATAGCTTTTTACCCGACTGCGCCAGAAGGAGGGTTATGTTTTTCGAGTGTATGTATGTATAATTCTTTGGCACGCTCTGCAGCCTGAACGGCTTGATGGATTTTCGCTTGAGAGGTGTCGTTAGATCGTATATACTGTGATAGTGACACTGGGTATATCATAACAGCAAATAAATTCAACGACCAAACACACAAACACCACTCACAACAAACATAACCTCAAAAACGAAACTACACACGAGCGTATCCCAGCACGGAATGTTCTTTTATTTCAGGGTTAAAAAAAAGAATTACTACTTATAACAAAACAAACCAAAGTACATGTACACCACCACAAGTCTTTATGGTTATGACTACAAGGTTTACAATCTCTGAATACGGCGGTCACTGCATCTGTGTGAGCGCAACGGCAATATGTTTATGCGCGAGCGACAAAGACATAAGATGAGGGGTCTGTGTACGAAATTCTTCGTGCTCCGCGTCCGTACTATAGTAACTTGTACGCATAACGCTCAAGTTGCAAGCGCAAGCGCATGCGCTCGCTTATAAAAAAAAATGTGTGCGTGTACTAGGTGTACACACGTAAGAAGTGAAACTTTTTATGATCTTATTTTTCGAAAAATGATCTACTATATGCAACTTTACAGAAATTTGTTAAATAAAGTTAAATTAGATAATTTAACAAAAGGCTTGTATTATCATAGACATGAATACAAATACAATTATTTCATTTTACCTTATTACTAGTAAATTATTACAGAATTTCATTAATTGTAATATAATTATTACTATCATATATATGATGGCTTCGAATCTCTTCGGATCAACCGTGGTAGGGACAAGAAAAAGATGGCGCGTAACCGAAAAACGTGACGATTTTTTACATTGCTACAAAATTTCTCCCATACGTCGATATAGAAGCTTCACTTCAAAATAAAGAAAATATGTTTAATATGGAACATAAGATACAGGTATCACTTATTCCACGTCATTAAATTTATATAGGGAATTGATTATATAGAGGTAAGTGTGCAGGATTACCTTGTAAAAATTAGTGCTAAGTAAGATACAGAGAAAACAATAATATTTATATAATAATCTACTCATGATAAACACCGTTTTACTAGGAATACTAACTTGTATGCTACTCAAAACATTTATGCAAGAAGCAAGTTGAACAACGTGTGACGTCATACATGCATGCAAGTACTTGCATAATGGAAACGCGGCTTTAGGGCCTAGTGACTCCCGACGCAAAAACCAGTGGAGCTTCGTATTTATTAAACTTGAGAGTATCGCTGACAACGAGTTGTAAAATGCTTAGTACGAAATTTTTTTTTATATAATTTGTATTTCAAAGCTTTTAATGACTTTCCAGAATGGGTTTGACCCTCCACCAGCATGGTCACAGTCACGGCGGTGGTCACGGTCACTCGCATGGCAGCGCTAATCCGGAATTGAATAACAAGGTCAGTGTTGGTTACTTCTTGTTTACTCAAATATGTTGTCTGTTGCTGTTGTCTTACAAATATTTTATTTTATACTAATAAGTAATAATTCATCATACTACAGTGTTTGTTTGTTTGTATGATTGGACGCACTAATCCCAGGTGCTGGTCCAAATCGAATACTATTTTTGTCGAGAAACGCCTTATAACATTATGTTACCAATTTGATACAAGTATAATCCGACCCATCAAGTTAAAATACGTATCTATGCATAACCTATGTACACGGCCAGTGTCAAGAGATTTTTCGCCGAGAATAGGCATGGAGAATAGATTTCATTCATTTTCTCAGACTAATTCCACGACTATTCTGTCACCAGAGGAAATATAAATTGTATTATTTTTTTAATTGTGACCAACTTTTTATAGCCCTCACATAACTAGGTATATTAACTTTAAACTAACCTAATTATTAGTAGCAAGTACTTTAAAAGACACCAGTACTTAGACAGGTTCCTACAGTAGCATTTTGTACCAAACAATAGTTTTTGTAAACGTGTGAGTATCCACATATTTACCAAATATTATGCCTTACTTGCAATATTAAATTTTAGAAGTTTGTCGTATTCCTACCAAATTATTATTGTAATGACAGTTCAAAGAAAATTTTAACCAATTTATGTCCTATCGTCACATAAATTTATGTTTTTATTAATTAAAATTTAATTAACACAGTGCATTTGTCTGGTTAAATGTATATAAAATGCTCTGTTTGAGCATTTCTCTTCTACCTCGTAATTAGCTACTTATGTATATTAATTATGACTTATTAACCCTAAGCTTAGCTTATACTTTTTTTACTATTATTTTTATATGTAAGTTTAGTATTGTATAATTCTATTGTTTAGGTTTTTTTGTTAAGTATTTATGCACAGTTGTAGTGACCATCAGCATGTATTTCTTTTTTGATATTTTTCCATAGTAGTAAACCTATTCACTATAACCTGAAAGAAATCACATGTTAGCAATAAGGTCGTTCCCTAATGACTTATATAACCTGTTTTTTTATATGTATATGTAGGAAATATAAATATATAAAATTAATATTTCAGAAGGAACGGTCTGAGTCGGACGCAGAAAGTGTGTCGTCGCATGCGCACGAAGATCACAGGGAGAATATTAACGTACGCGCTGCGTTTATTCACGTACTAGGAGATTTCTTGCAGAGTTTCGGCGTTTTGATTGCAGCTATTGTTATATATTTTAAAGTAAGTATACACTATTTACAGAAGGCTGATCTACTAATTTTTATTTTATTTTATTCACAGTTTTCCAAGGTACCTACAAATTACATATTACATACATTAGGTACATAAAGACAAATACTAATTTTAATGTGGCAGATACTGTGTGGCTAACATTAATAAAAAAAAAATTAAGATAACTTAAAAAATATAAGAAGGATCTAAATTATTATTATTAAATATAAATGTAAAATTTCAGCCGGATTGGAGCATGGTAGATCCCATATGTACCTTCCTCTTCTCAGTTCTGGTGCTGATCACAACATTTAATATTATCAAGGATACTCTGCTTGTACTGATGGAGGGATCTCCTAGAGGAGTCGATTTTCAGGTAATTTCAGGAATAATAATGACTATAATATATAAATTAACAAGACCAAAATCATCATTGGTGATGGAGACGCATGGACCGTCACCCTCCAATAAGGGGTTCATGGGCGGATGTGACTATTCATTTATTATATTTTAAGTATTGTATTCTTTTACATTAAATTCTGTTGTTTTAGGATTTATGTTAAAACAACGGAATTGTTTATTTGATTTAATGTTTTATGCTTATAACTTTAATTATATTATAATATATTTATTTTAAAGGACAACGAATAATTAAATTCATTTGAAACAAGAACTATTATAAAATTTTAACAAGTTTTAACTGGCCATTTCATAAAATAATCATTTTAATGTAGAGGCAAAAACTATTTTTTTATAATGTCTGCCCATTCATTGAACTTATTCACCTGTAATGTTTAATTTTTTTTTACAGGAAGTGGCGAATACGTTCCTATCACTTCCGGGCGTGGTTCGCGTACACAATCTACGAATGTGGGCGTTGTCGCTGGACAAGACTGCGTTGGCCGCCCATCTTGCTATACGTACGTATGCTTATGGGTTGTTGTAGACATAACATAAGTGTTATTTAGCCTTTAATTGTATAGTAAAAATAACATATTTTTTATAAAATAGTAATAACAATCAGCATGTACAACTATTTTAGGTTCATCATTCATATACCAAGAAATATTCCAACATAAGTTCGTCTTTGAAAGTATACTTAAAACGCTTACTGTAAAAGAAAAGGAGATCCAAATACCAGTAATTTTAAAACGTTTATAGTAATTTTTATTAAATTTTAACACAATCTTTCTAAATAAATAAAATAATAGAAATGATACTACATTTTTGATGTGAAACATCTATAGCCGCACGTAAAACCGATTTCTGGCGTGGCGACGCATACCGTGGCGACGCGTCGCCATATGATGGTATATATATATATATATATATATATATATATAGTCTATATGCAGTAGTGTGTACGGTGTGTATTTCGAAGTCACTGATTAAACGAATTAAGTAGTCACGATATGAAATAAATTCGTAAATTTTTGTATTTAATGAAAATAAATGTTTATTCAATAAACAGTCATCGTTAGCTGAAAAAAAAAACCGTAATATTTTATTTTATCATTATGACATATTTAGTTCCTCACAATCTGTTCTTTTCTGCTTTTCATATTACTTTTACAAAATAATGTCGATGTTTCACATTTGCCAGGCGTCCTGTGACGGCTCACATTTTTTTCATTTTAATTTATATATTACAGGTACCGGTGTTAGCCCACAAAAGATTTTGGAACAGGCGACACGTTTGGTTCACGAGAAATACCGTTTCTTCGAAATGACCCTGCAGATTGAGGAGTTCAGTGATGGGATGGAAGATTGTAGTCAATGTAAGATGCCTCAGTCATAAATGTGCCTAAAAAAACATATTAAACCTTTTCCCCGCGCGGTTAACCGCAAAACAGTTCAAGCTACATATCGTAAATTCTATTTCAATATACATTAGTACTTAATTTCAAAATTACAACGGATTTTGCTGAAACTAACGGTAAACAGCGCGGTTTCCTGGCCTACGACCCGTAACAATTACCACTAGTAAATACATATAGAACTGTTAATGCTCAAGTATTTTTGGTCTAAGATCCCGCTATACAACGACCTTCACCGAGATGCTTATTTAATGAAACTTATTTTATATATAATTTAATATGTCAATAAATATAATCAATATGGGTTGCCTAGCAAATTTCAGTCCAGAGTATGTTTAATTAATTTAAAAAAAAATTTTTAAACATTTCACCGTATGATTATTAGATAAATTCTATACCAATCGAACGTATGAAGCCCATAGAATATGCAAACGTTAGTTGTTTTTTAATCAATTAATTTGTATATTTTTATGTGAACTAGTATATAACATCTTCAGTATAAAAGAAGGTTATAGTGATACATAAAATACTACCCTGATTAAAAATATTGATTGAAAAAAGTTCAAAAAATTTACTACATGCAAATTATAAAAAAAAAATTTTTTTAATATTAATTAAACATACTCTGGACTGAAATTTGCTAGGCAACCCATATGGATTATATTTATTGACATATTAAATTATATATAAAATAAGTTTCATTAAATAAGCATCTCGGTGAAGGTCGTTGTATAGCGGGATCTTATACTATTTTCTTGCATATTAAAAATATGGTTGTGAATATTCTTTCATAGTACAAAGTTTCATAGTAAAAAATAATTAACCTGTTTATCGGGTAAAGTGATTATTGAATAAAGTTTACCTTCACAGATTCTTGTAAAAAGGTTTGCTTTACAATAGACAACAATTGTATGAATACATGTCTAGGTTGATTAATGGCCTTTAGGAGAGTAAAAAACTTCGAATATTTCGTCAATATATTCACGAACCTTTTACGTAATTTTCGTTTTCGTAAGTTATCATTCTTAAATTGTATGAGTTTTTTTATTTAATCAAATGAATATTTATTATCAACCGATGGATGTAATTGATTGCTTTATTAGTATTTATGAGTACGAAGTGTATTTAAATGTACTTAAACTACCTAAAGATAAACAGTTTTCAAATTGAAAGTGTTCAAATAAATAATGTTGATTCAAATAAAATTAAGGTTATATATCTTATACAAAAAAATGTTCGTGCCTTAAGGCGATAAATGCAGGGTACAAGGCTATTTCACCAAATATTATGTGCCTTTGAACTAATTATATACATAAGTTAAAGGTACTATTTATAATTGTCAATAAATTGTGTTGAAGATTATGCCTGACATAATCTCACTGGTTTTTCTAAATGATACTCTATGGATCGTCTATGGCAACATGGTGAAGTAGCCATAATTAATAATCTTAACGTTTGTTGAGCAAATATCAATCATATTTAATTTGTATTATTATTCCCTAGTTGTAAGAGATGAATGATTTTAAAATTAAACAAATTTTATTGTTTCTTTGTGTTTATATTTAACCTTCGCTGGAACATATGTCGTCAAGACTACAGTTAACAAAAATACAGTTTTTTTGCTCGAATAGGTAGGTACATATTTTTCATACATTCCAAGAATTTATTTAATACTAGAAGACAGTTCAACATTTATTGATAAATAGCGCCCGGCTTTGTTATAAAACTGGATATGGTGCCATCTAGCGAACACAAACGGAGGCCAATATTTTTTTATTGTTCATCCTTAACTTCTGTAGAATCAAAACTATTGCCATAATATAAAAAAAAACTTCTGTAGAAACCACGAAAAAAATAAAATAGGTGTGTATCGTAGTTCATACATGTGTGATATTAAATTTAAGTCGCGACACTGGTTCCAGTAAAAACAATATATTGGATTGACAAGTTAGTCCACGAAGTACCAAGACGAAGGTATACATTTAGTACGGGCGATTTTTCCATAATATGCCGCTGAAAGTCGAGCCGTTCGAGTTTTGTTCGGAGAATCGTAATCTACTTCGTAAAGGCCGAAGCGTTCTCTGTAAATAAATTTTAATAAATTTGAGAAAAGTCTTTGGATATCACTCATTACTTAAAAATTATCGTTATAATATTTTTGCAACATGAGATCAACAGAACAACGCTCAAATATGCGTGAAATATTTCTACGAAAAGCTTAGTTGATAGTTCTGCACCTCACCACCAGGGGCGCTGTAAGATTATTCGTTTATGCCTGCCTTTGACCAAATTTCTAATAGAATTATTTCAGTTATATTTACAATATATGTATGCATCATTTTTTTCTCATGGTAAGCCCCAAATAATAAAAAAAAACGCAGTTACTGTAGCCTATAATAAGGCTTTACAATTCTCTAACTCGTAACATGGGGTGGCGTATTAAGCGGGGCAAGGTAAATGGACTCCACGTTTTTCATTATATTCTGAAAATTTTCTAGTGATTTCTTCCTATACCGTACCGTTTATGTTTAGTAAGTGAAGAATTAAATTTTTAATATTAAAAATTATTTATGTAACATAGCCATAACACACACATAATTTTAGAAAGGCTGAGATGGGGCATAACGAAGGTTAGGAAACATTGCTGTCACATGTCTGTATATGGAAATTATTAATACAGTAAAAATCTGTTACAACGACATCGAAGGGCCTACTCATATTTGATCGTAAAACCGATAGTCGTAACCGATGACGTTGTTACTAAGAACCTAATACAATAGAATTCAGCCTTTGATTTTGGTCAATATAACCGGTATGTTGTTCTTAACGGTTTTGACTGTAATTAAATTTTATTGAAAATACTTACGAGAATCCTCTAGTCCATTCAAAATTATCAATAAGACTCCAATAAGTATAACCAATCACATTACATTTGTCTTTAACTATCGCAGTGTGTAGGGCCTTTAGATAACCATCAATGTAGTTAACACGTCTTGTATCCTGCAACCCTGGTTCTAGCGACATGCCATTTTCAGTTACCAACACCAAAGGATTATTATAAGAGTTCTTGATCCAGTTTAACGCTTTTCTAAAGCCCCAAGGGACAACCTTAAACGTAAAACAAATTGAATAGCACCGCCAAAAACCCTGAGGTAAAAATCTGGCTGACTTTGTTTGCTTCTTATTAGACTAGCCCCGGTATTCAATATACTAGGTATACTAGGTTTGAAATACCAGTTGTGGTTCCAATGTTTTTGTACCCATTTTGAAGTCTGTACCAATCGTGTTGTACAATAACTCAGAAATGAAATCTATAGGATATTATGTAAAAGAAACTTTGGACGCGATATCAATGTATGTGACTTTTGTATAAAACAGAGGGAATACGTGGTAGCTCACTTGGTAGATGAAACTGTCCATAGATATTCTACATAAGTATACATTTTATTGGTAAAGAACATTATTATGGCTAATTACACGTCAATAACAGACCATGTTTGAATTGTCCTGATGTGAACTACGAAATTCAGCGAGCATTTTATTTATTTTTACATAAAAAATAACTATACATCCTAAACATTTCTTACTAATGTAAATAAAAACCTAATCTATTGTAGTGACACGTACAATATGTGCCTACGATGACGTCATACTATATGGAACCAGCCCACTATTGACTATACCGTACTATATGCCCACTGAAGTATTTCCGAACCCATTCGACTTACAAAAAGCATACGAACGCACTCGCGAGCCTTCTGGCATTGAGAGTGTCCATGAGTATCGCTTAACATCAGATGAAATCAAAATGATATAAAAAAACGGGCTATCAAAGTTATTCCGGTTATTCCAGGATATATATAACTTCTCGACCTTAGCCTATGGACCTGTCAGTCAGTGGTTTGAGTTAGAGGAACAGTACCTCCGTTGACCGTTCCTCCAGATTATCATTGTCATTGGTATACGCGAGTACTCGCGTATTTTGTGTAATTCGTAAGTACGTACTCGCGTATTTTGTGTAATTCGTAAGTACGTACTCACGTATTTTGTGTAATTCTTATTCATAAATTTACATTGTACCTTCAACCAGGTAGAATTGCTTTTAGGCCACTCCGGTTTCTCCTTTAATATTCCACCCATATCAGTATAAAACGATGGCTGTGGAGTAATTTTAGTATCGCTATAAACAGCCAAGGATGTCGTATAATGGTTCAAACCAAAGAAATCAGCTGATCCTCTAATAATTTCGACCTGTAAAATAATTTTTGGCGTAATATTCCTATCATTATACTAAAATTGATATCATTAATTTAATAAAATATAGAGAAAGTTACTACAACTGTACATAGACGAATATTTACAAATACTTTTTGGATGGAATGGAAATTTACGCTTAATTTTTTTAGTACTGATTTACCTCTTCTGGTGTAAATACAGGTAGGCGGGATCGATGAAAGTGTTGTCGTTTGGATATAATGTCGATGCGTTTGCGCATAATCGGCGGATAGTCCCCTGTTTGAGAGAAAATTGGATGTGCAAACCAGCCAAACTAAAAAATAAATGAGATTTGATTGATATTTGGATTGATTTTAAATTATTTCATTTTCATATTCAAGTTAAATGACTATTAATTAATTTTATTTGTTATAAAGTACAATTTATAATCTTATACGTCTATTAATTTTAGTTTCAAGACAACACCGGTTACCACAATTACACATTCCATGTAAAACAAAAAAAAAATTTGATACAGTCAAAACCGTTTACGACGACATCGTTTAGAACAACGTACCGGTTATATTGACCAAAATCAAAGGCCTCGGCTGAATACTATTGTATTAGGTACTTAATAACAACGTCATCGGCTGTTACGACTATCGGTTTTTACGACCAAATATGAGTAGTCCCTTCGATGTCGTTATAACAGATTTTGACTATATTTATGATATACTAACTGAAAATTGTCGTATGACTTCTGCAG